AGTGGGATCTGCCGGATCTGCGCTGTTGCACTGGTCCGGCATGCTCTCCGCCTACTTCTCGTTTCCTGGCTGAATTCCACCCCTGCCTCTCACATCTCAACCTCCCAGACCAGTTTTATCAGCCCACATAGAATGCTGCAATGCTGCATATCTACAGGCTTTTTATCATTTATTTTAACTGTTTTGTTTTTAGATCTGCCTTTTCTCCTGGCCTATAAGCTCCTTGGAGATAAAAATCATTACTACTGTGCTCACTCAAGCGTCTCTAGGGCTGATTCCGGAGTCTTGCCCTGAGAAGTTCAGAAAGTACCTGTTGAGTGAGTGCCTGAGCCCAAAATGAACATCAGGCTTATAAGAAAAGAGTGGTGGGAGAGTAGTAGTGTCTTTCCACTCAGTGACAGCATGCAGGCTTGCTATGGCACAACCCCAGGGGCTCAAACTCAAATGTTTCCCCTTCAAGTTGAGTCCTCTTGACACAATGGAGCAAAATCTGGGGGAAAAAAGACTCATTCCTCTAGGTGTTTACCTGAAATACCTACAAAAGTCTTAAATTCTGAGTGTCAAGAAGAAATAAGGGCAGAATGATTGTCTCAAAGGCCTTGGATCTCCACAGGAAGACACTTCAACAGCCTGTAAGTTCCTGGGTCTATTTCAGACAACCCAAACTGTGGGAAAGAATCAAGTGAGAGTTAGGCTGTCGCTCAGAGCCCAGGGCTGTGGGAGTGTGTTACGTACCAAGTTCTGCTATACCCAAGAAGAAGGATCTAAAAGAACATGTATTGCCTATGCCTTTTTTCTTTTCCCATATAAATTAGGTAACTTGCCAGGTGTTTGCTTCTTTCCAACTTCTCATGTATATTCACCTTCTCCTAAAGAATTATTTATTGAGCACTTGCACATACTTCACCATGAGCAAAGAGTCAGAGAATATTAATACCCTTATTTTACTTCCAAAGAAGGTGGACCTACAATGCCACAGCACCAAAGGCACTGCGGCTCAGGGTTAGTACCTACTTAAAAAGTATTTAAAAGTCATTCTTTTTTTCTACTATACCTCTCTGATTTATTTGTCAGGCTCTTGTATAAGTGTTATATTTTAGTTTTAAAACAACCACTAGGGGTCTAAGGCACCTACTTAGAACAAGCTTGGCAAAGCATCAGGGACCGC